CCCGCCTTGGCCCAGGGGGCCGCTGAGCCCGCCTTGCTCGCAGTCCTGTGCACCTGCTCCCACACTCCGTGAGCGCATGCGCTGGGCGAGGGCTGGGTGGCTGCGTGGCTGTTGGTTACAGGTAGCGGTGCAGGCAGAAAGCGGGGCGGGTGTGTGAGCAAGGAGGAGGCCGGTGGGAACGGCGGGGTGGCCATGGGCGGGCCGTGCGGGAGTGGGTGTAGGATGCGGTGTGAAGAGCATGTGACCCCAGGGGGGTCGTGTTGGTGGGCTGGTCCACGGGTGGCCGGGTGCTGGCAGAGGCGAGACCGGGTCACATGCACTGACGGACAGGCGGGTGATGGGTGACTGGTGGGGAGGGAAGGCGGACCCAGGTGAGTGGGCGGGTGGGCAGGGGAGCGGCGAGGCTGTGGGCAGACGCGGGTGGCGGAAGACGGCTGTCTGCACTGACACTCTTGTCTCGGCAGGTCACCAGCCACACATGGGCGACTCCTGGCCCCGGAGCTCCGCACAGCAGCCACACCATTTGGCTGACTCCTGGCCCCGGAGCGCCGCACAGGAGGCGCCAGAGCTGAACCGCCAGTGCTGGGTCCTGGGGCACTGGGTGTGACGGAGGCCCGGCCTGGCCCGCAGAACTCAGGCCGGCGGCAGTGGTACCAGCCCCGGCCACCAAGCCACTGGTCCGAGGCCACCTGGCCTGTGTGCTGTGAACTGGGTGGAGAGGCACAGGCCTGGCCTGCCTGGCACTGCCTGGGTCTCAGGGCTCTGGAGACGGCCAGGGCAGCCGAGGGGATGCAGAGGACACGGAATGACTTTGGGACGAGGAACTCTTGCCACCACACATGGCGTCGTGCTGGTGCAGCTGGGTGCTGGCAAGGCCCGACTCCAGCCGCCGGAAGCCTGGGCACCCACGGGCCAGCCAGGGGCTCGGGAGGTGCCCAGGTGCAGAGCCCTGGGGGCGCCAGGCGCTGCACTGGGGGTCACAAGTCAGCCGCACAGCAGGGGCTCAATAAATGCTTGTTGAACCTGTGCTCTCACTGCGTGGAGGCCGGTTGCTCTCTGGGCTGTGGCTGCCTCCTTATAGCTCCTCTGTCAGGTCCTCTAGGGTCCTGAGGGTGACAGCCTGAAAGTGTGGGGTTAGCTGTGGGGCCAAGGGGCCTGGAGTGGGGTTTGGGCCTGGGGAGCAAGGGGTAGGGTAGAGCCAAGCTGGGAGACTCCCTTGGATCCAAATGTGGACGAGGCAGGCGCCAGGCTGGTGGAAGATGTGGGTGGGCAAAAGATGGGCTCTCAAACCCAGGCCCCAACTGAGGAGATGGAAAAACATTGGCCCCCCCACCCCACCCCGGGAAACCCTTTATGCTCTGTCTAGAGCCACCTGTACCTCAAATCCTAGGGCTTAGGAATAGATCCCTACAGTATAGATGAGGGGACCTAGGGTCACAGAAAATGAGTAACTTGCGTAGGTCACAGACTGAGCATATGGAAGAGCTGGGGTTTCATTCAGGATTCCTAAGCTCCAAATTCTTCCCAGAACATAGTTTTTCCTCTTCCAAAAGTTCATAATTCATCCATCCACCCACCCACCCATCCATCCATCCACCCACCCATCCACCC